GCTTCTTTCTTCTTCGCCACAGATCTTGCAGTCTTGAGGAAGGCTGAATATAGGACTTGAATTTCAGACTTAAAATGTCAAGTGGTTGTGAAATTAAGCATGTTTTTACTTATGGGCACAAAGAGGATTTCTTTATGCTGCTGTGGTAAGCGTGTTTGCAGAACTTGCTGTTACTTTGAAGATTAATGGAGTGTTGTTACAGATCTCCTTTCGGTTTTGAATACTGTATCTTGGTGTTCTTGTGAGCCCTTAAGAAGTTATCCAGGTGTTCCATGTTATGAAAGTAGTTTTCCTGGTAACTGCTGCTCTTGGAGGATCTAAAAACTTGTGTCTTTTTATCTGTCAAGGTGTATAAATAGGCATTCTCCAGTGGGAGTTGGTTTTGAGCAGATCTCGGTCAACATAGTCTAAACAGATTCACTAAAGAACTAGAGTAGCCATGCTCACCACATGCAGTGATTCACTGTTTGCAGGCAGTCAGAGCCTACTATTTGAGAGCACTGTGTCCTTCTGAAGGAGTTGGTATCACACTGAGATCCAACAGTCAACGGGCTCAGTGTTTGTTCATTCCATCTACAAAATCTCACCAAGGGCACACTTAAAATATTGTCAGCTTAGGGTTTTAGAATGGGAGAGCTTGTGGGTTTTTCTCCTAATAATATGAGTTTGAAATCCTGTCTTTGGTTTTGTTGAATTATTAGAATCCACAGATCTAACTGAGACTTATTTTGAGTGTTGCTTTGGGCAGTGGACTAAGGTGTCTGTTTAGGCCATATATTCTATAGTAGGAATGCAATTTATTGCTGTAATGCATACAAACTCATTAACAAATTCTAGGCCACAGGGGATATTTTCCATTGCAGTGGAAGTCATCTCAACTGGACAATCTTCAGTGCAACTGGCCATGCCTTCCCATGTCAGTGACTGACAGATCTAATTCTGCCTTTGTAGCCGAGAGCCTGTTAGTTAATGGAGTCGTGAATATTGTTACTCAGAGGCAACCTTCAGAGTATTAAAAGGCATTATTCCTGTTCTTCACTTGATATTTATCAAACAAGGTGTTATAGCTAATGAATGCAGTGTTATCTTCAAATAAATACTGTGTGTAGATCATAACTTAAAAGGGCTGAACATACAAGTAGCTTCATTATTGCTGTGCAGTGACAGAGAGATGGGTTTAGTTTGCCTGTTTAAATCTTATGTGATGGAAACCCAGAGTGAATGTCCTCTCTGAGGGAAAAGGAAGGAAGCATTATGGGTTATATGATCGGATTCATAAGCTCCTTAGTACGTATATATTTCATACAGCTCTCAACTTGTTTTTGCCCCCATTTTTTCTTACATGGAAGCTGCTGAAATGGTGAAGCAGCAGTACTGCCTTGCAAGTACCAGAGTAGGTTTCCTTTTATAATTATCATTCTTGTTGTATTTATCCTTTCTTATGGAAGTGAAGATGCAGATATTTAAGAACCCTTCTTGCACAAAAAAGCCCAATTTCCGCTCAGTACTTAATTAGCACTTGTTTATGACACGGCATCTGATTTGATTTTCAAAACAAATTGCACAGTAAAGAGGCTGATATTTAAACTGTATAGTAACCACAGCTCCAGCTGTGACTCAAATATTGTAAGCCTTCAGGGGTTGTGTTTAGGCTTGGAATATAGGAACTCAGGCCTGTAATTAAATGTCCTCTAAAAATCAGCCTTTGTAGGGAAGGGAAAGAGGGTACCACTGAATTTTAAATTACTGACTTCTCAGAAATCATTCTGTTGTTCGGGGCCTTGCTAGGAACTGCAGAAATCAAATGGATTAAAAATGGAAGAAGAGATTACTAAAGGAAAAAAGGCAGGGGTTGCAGGAAAAAAAAGATGAGCAAAGTAAGCTACTCTGGCTCACGGGTTTATAGACAACTGCAATGTATATAATTTTAATGTGTGGGTAATATATAAATTATAAGTTCTGTGGCCACCAAAAAGGCTACAGAGAAAGTAGGCATTTTATACAGATTAAAATTGCATTTCAGAACTGTGAATAAGTTGCTGATGGTTGTGGAATAAGCCATCTGGGCTGATGGAAGGCTCATTTTTAAAACAAGTCCTCAGTAAGAAACGCGGATGTCTTGGAATAGGAAGGAGACAGGGTTATATTGCAAATTAGTCACTCACCTAGATAGAAACTTGAAATATTCACAAAATGGCATGATAGAAATTAGCCGTTAGAATGCTTTCAGAGTTACTTTTTGAGAAAAGCAAACACTGTCATGGCTATTGAAAAAGAGAGGAAAATTACCCAATAAGCCTGACTTCCAGTCATGGAAAATGCTGGAGCAGATGCTAAGAGAAAATACTATGCTTATAAATGACACTGAACCATGAGCATAAATGGTGTGTGCTCATGAAAGTACAAAAATGAGTAGATGTTGCTGGGCAATTAATTGTATTGCTGACAGAATTGCTTTGAATGGATCATAATTGTGGAGATTTTAGTGTTGATTGATAAAATACTACAGCTTTCAAACAAGGCAGTTGTCTGTGTCTGACATCTTTTACAGGCTGGAGGAAGAGGGGCAATATTTTGTTTATTAAATTGTCAAGCGTATATCAGTTCCTCTTCTATCGTTTTGAGGTTGTGTCTGCTGTCATTCAGATACTGAAATTCACACCATTTTAACCAGATGTACTCACTTAATTGCCTGTCTGTGCTGAAGAATGTATTCCTGGGGTCATTCACAGTGTGCCCAGGAGAGCCACAGGAGTTCAGAATCTAGGAAATTGGCTATAAAAGTTTAGCCAACAGTGAATCTCTGAGATTTTAATTAAATTACACTTTTCTATCAGTGCTTGTGTTTGATGTGTATGGCGGCTCACTTGTGCAAATATCCCACTTTAACAGTGTAAGTAACAATATGTGGGTAGTGACGTACCATATACTAGTAAAATTTACTTCTATATAGCTTATTTTCTCTTAGGTGAGGGTAGATTTATCAAATGTAGAGGAGAATACTTGACAGGATTTTGCAAATATGGTGCTGAGGGATATGATGAGTCTTAGCTTCTCCTATTTGTGTATTTAACTTGTCAGCACTGAAAAATAAATTGAGTTTACAGTAGCTGCTGATCTGCTGAAACTCCTGATTGCTTTTATTGCTAATACTCAGCCAACTTTATGTTGAATTCACAAAGTATTGTATGGGTAAGAGTTGTCTAAATAGAAATACAGTGTTAACTTTGATACTGGGGACAATCCTGCATGAGTGAAATCCTGTTGATGATAGTAGATCTGTTAATACACTTACATATTCGCAGGACCAGGGTCTCCAAAGTAAGTGGTTTAAATCAGTGACTTAAATCAATTACTCAAACTGCTCTGGACTGATGGGCTTTACAAATGTTAAGCAGCCTGTGGGTTCTACGAGAAAGCTTGACTGTTATCCTTTAATTTGTAGGTTAGGTACCAGAAACAGAAAGTAATGAAGCAGTTTTTCACAATTTGTTGTATGATCCTGGGCAGATACAAGACTGGTATTCAGGTCTCTTTACTCCTGACACTGCGATTTCAAAAGGTCATTCTTTCTGCTTGTTTATGAAGGCTTTTTTTTCTTCCTGTACTCCCCCTCCTTGATAGGTATACTGTACTGTGCTGTGCTACTTTGGAAAAGCAAATGAAGCACTTGAGCCAGGAGTAAAATGTGGGGTTCTATAGCGTTCTTGCCAGATACGTAGCACTTCATATAGTTTCTTCCATTTTCAAAGCACAAAGAAATGTCAGCAGTTCCTCTCAGCAAACCTGTGAGGTGGGTTAAATGAGTGTTGTCCTCATTTTACAGTAGTAGAGAGACTAACCATCCATGAAGTTAGTGCTGAAGTAAGGATTAGGTCTCAAAGCACGATACTTCTAGCTGTGTGAAAAGTCCCCTAAAACATAGTTTGTTAATGTGTTAAGCATTGCAAGTCCAAACTCAGCAGGTGAATGCAGTAACCAGATATACTTGACTTTAATTTATCAGCACAATGGTGGTTATTAAAATTCACATTTAACTGAGATTACTGGCTAGGACACCAGGGCATAATCTTAGTACTGCTTGGAAAGATTTAGGAGGATTTAAATTCAAACTGGAGGGAAGCAAAAATAACTAATGTTCAAAGTATATTGTAAAATCCTGTATTTGTACTTCTCTTTAGAGGCAAAATTTTAGCCTGTTCTAGCCCTTTATTTTCAAATTCCAAGGCTGGACTAGCTCCCCCCTATAGCTGTAGGGGTTAGTCATTCAGTGGTGATAAATTTTTCCTCTGCAACCAATTGTGGTGTTTAGTGTTACAAATCCAAGGCAGACAGAGTCTATACACACTAAATATTGTGCTGACCCAAGAACAAATGGGGGTAAATTCACCTTGAATAGAGCCATTCTGAAAATGAGGAGTGGTAGGGGCACACCTCTGTGTGGAGGGGAAGTACAGTAAATTAAGAAAGGGATTATGAAATAGTTTCCAGGAGTCAAGAAAGATCTCTGGACTTGGTGCCTGCGGATGTCCTGGGTGGTCCTGTGGCTTAGATGTGATTTTCTAAGCATCTCCGAATTTTTCTGGGAACAGTTGAATCCACTTGACTGAGCGAATATCTTTGAACTGCAAATGAATGTCATTTGTGAATGGCAGTGTTTCATTTTTTCTTGTTCCATGCTTTTTTCTAGCTGTAAGTTACGCTATGTGTGTTACGTGCTTCCAGAGCGTTTGGATGTCTTGCCTTTTCTTCAACTCGATAAAGCATGAAAACAGTAAATGGGGAGGAAATTATATTTGTCTTATCAGTTTGAGGCATAATTTATGGCTGCGTGTGAGTGTAGCTTCCTGTTACCCCAGTATTAAGGCTGCACCTCTGCAGGGATTTTCCTTAATCTTTTCATGTTGTCCAATGTCTGGTCTGCTGTGTTGAGGATGGTGACTGTGAAAACACTCATAGCTTGGCTACTGCTGTTTTGACACCATTTAGCTTTATGTAGTGGCAAAAGCATTAATGACCATTAGTCTTTGCTACTGCACCCACCACAGAGGCTGTGCTTATCCAAGTGCATTTGTGTGGAAATCTTAAAAATTCTTGTATATACAGAGTTTAAAATGGTGGAAATTGTAAAAATGGTGGTGGCATTATTAAAAAGATGTTCTTAAAGCAGCTGATATCAGAGGAGAAAACAAGAAGTAATCTGGGGACGAAACCTTCATACATGGCTTAAAAATCTGCGTTGTTTAAAATGCTCCAGGGTTTAGATTTAGGTTAGTTAGGTCCCAGTGTAAAAGGAGCTCTCTCTTTATGTCTATTCTCTCCTAGCCCCGAATACACATGCCAAAAGATGGATTCCAACTTATATCTTCTGGATACCAAGCATGGCTAAAGCAGGTTGGACTGTATTATTGTTATTCATCTCATGTGAGGGGCCGTGTTGGACACCTGTGCTTGTCTCATTAGTGAAGTACATAAATGAGGGTGTAATGAAGTTATGGTGCCATGCTAGCTGATAACACTCATAGCCATCACTGTTCTGTGTTTATGCATGCTGTGTTTGTATAACATTTTCTCACCAGTCATATGAATGTGCACTACCTGTAAATAAAAAGTTCAAAATGCAGTCACCTGAAAATGGAAAGGGTCAGAGTCTGAAAACAAATCTGCAACAACAGCTGGAATTACAGAATTAAAATGGGCCTTCGTACACAAAGCTGCGTGATGGTGGTGGTGCTGGTAATAATGGGGAGGCCACTGGGTTAAAACTCAAGAGAATTGCATCTAGCATCTAATTCAGATCTGCCTGGGTGAAACAAGTATGGACACTTAACTCACATCACATAACAATTGTGCAGTTTGACATGGTCTGACACTGTGGGGAGTCCCCACTCAGAAGTGGCCTAGTGCTATATTACTCTGGCTATTATTAAAGGCCAGGCTTTAGTTGTCTCAGCAGTCTGCCTCCAGCAATTGCTGTCAGCTTTTCACTTTTGTGAGTGAAAAATCTCCCTTCAGAAAAAAATAGTTTCATTTACAAATTGCCTTTACAAATCTCTTCTGTCGTGATGTTACATGTATGATGAATCCTGAGGCCTTGAGAATATGTAACTTAAAGTTGCTGTTTTTATAGAAAGCCAGAATGATTGTGTTGTTATGGCAACAAAACCTGGAAGTATGAAAACAGCACAGATAAGCTGCATCCTGTTGTCGTGGCAACTGGAGTTGTGAAATGACGAAACATGGTGGTGAAGGCATCTGTGGTACTAAGAGCCCAACAGAAACAAAGAGCCAAATTGCTTGAGTGGGGTGGGAGAGAGTGAAAAACTGCAGCAGCAAAACTCCTCAAAACATGAGAGTTTCCTTGCAGGTGCTAACAGGATGCCTTTGATCATCTCCAGTTGTGTCTCACTATCTTATGTGTAGTAAGTAGTAACTTGTTTGTGCAAGTTGCTTACTGTTGTCAACTTAAATTAACTTGGGTGGAACTGGGAAGAGAGTGAATACCTATTGGATAATAGGTGTTGGGTCCTGTGTTATGTCTGCAAACAATTTCTTTGGATGAGTGATGTGTTGCAAAGGTGAAGCATGCTTTGAAGCTTCCCTCTGAGAGACCATTTCTCTCTCTTTCCAAGTCCACACTAGTGAGGGTCAGCTGGGACATTGAAATGGATGCTTTCCTGACTTAAACTTTGTTGAGCTGGAGGCAAGATGTCTCAGAGGGATCTCAACTCTGCAGTTATCGTCTCACAGAGCTCATTTGTTGACCTATGGGGCATGGCATCAGTTTCTGTTTCTTATGTGATAGGTTGGGAGAACAATAGGAGGAGCATTATGTGGCTGTTCTGTTATTACCAATGCTCTGATGCAGGTGGGATGTATGTTTTTTTTTTTTAACTGAAAAATACTGGGGGGGACCACACACCAAACCAAACCCAAAAATGCTCAGTCACTGAATTTTCCAAGGAGACTTTCACATCATTCAACCTCAAATAACAGAACTCGTACTCATCTTTTTCCTTGTGGCTGCTTTACTTTTAATTTTTAGTTTTGGTTCTAAAGTCTTTAGCTTAAATCTTCTTACTCCTTGATCCAAGGAAAAGTTATAAACCTGAGCTTGTGTCATCAGCAAGTGCTGTCATGGAAATAGCTTTGCTAATCCAATTTCAGTGCTGTGATTTCACCACAGGAAGTAGATGAGTAAGGGGATTGATGCAAAGGGTGGAAACTTTTGATCAGGAGGGCTCTCCTGAGAAGCAGGGAAGTTATGTTTCTTTTTTTTGATGTAAGACTGATTTGCTGTGGGATATATACCAAAGGTCCTACCTGTAGGATTCTTTAAAACTGCATTTTGGAAAGAAAGACACTTTTGATGTATTTAAAGGCAGTAATTTACACATGCATCCTGATGGAATGCTCTCTGTGCATCACGTTTATCCTCCTGATGTCTGTGTTTTTAAACAGGATCCTAACATAATGATTTTTTATCTCAGCATAGCTGAGTATTGATCTGCTGCTGCCTGACATACAGGGTGTGAGAAGTATCCCAGTAACACATTGTATTAATGTGCGCTAAAAGCAATTTGTATTACAGATGAGATGGAGGAAGATGGAGTTCTGCAAGACTGGACACATACTATAAATACCCATAAACCTGCCAATTTTAGCTAAAAACAGTGCTGGCTGGATTTGAATATTTTCAGCCTACTTAAACTGGAGATAATCATTGAGCACTACCTGAGCATGGGTCGCCCACACTGATGCCATTACTAGGTTTTTATATTTAATATTGCTGTGCTGCAGTGTGTTGTATTCCTATGTGGGCTAGAGGAAATAGAATGCCAATGGCCAGAAATACATGTTGCTCTAAGAACTGCATTTTAAGTAACCTGCAAAGCTCTCTTTAATCCAGCTGTTTCCTGTGAGTTCATCTTTTACAAAAAGGCAAATACCTACAGTTCATTTATTAAGCCTCGATCTTCATTTAAGCCTTTCTTCAAATGGCAGCATTGTGCTGCTAGTAGTCTGTAACATCCTGTCACCTAGATGCTGACCCTTTGAAGATAAGCTGCAGTTGACTTCTGAGGAGTGGGAGGGGGACAGTGTTTGTGTATAAATATGATTAATAGACATGACATTCCAATTCCTATATTGTATTGACACCTATGATTTAAGCCAAACTGAAATTGGACAGAAGAACCTAATTAGCTGAAACACTTACAAAACATTATTTTGATTACATAAATAGGAAGTTAAAAGTATTATTTTAGGTGGTTTGTGAAACATGGCAGTTCAGAATTAAAGCTAATTCTTCCCGTTCGTATACCGTTGTGAGCAAGTACACATCACATAGGGTACGTAATATAATTCACTCATCTGAGCCTCTCTGCCTCCCACTGGCTTTTGGAGTAGAATCTTTAAAGCCAAGTTATAAACCTGTAAGTGTGTTTTATGCTTGAAATTCTTGATGCTACCTTTGCTAGATTGGTACCAGCAAAGGCCAGTATAATCAAAACAAGGCACTTCAGATATTAATGGTCTGCACTTCATTCAAGTCAGCTGGGAAAGAGAGTATAAAACCAGGACTGTGGTAAAAACAGGATTCTTCAACTAGAATTGCACTCCCCTAGGAGAAAAATGCAATGATTCTGGAAATACTTTGGTTTTGCAATTTTGTCATTTAGCATCTCCTCCTTAATTCTAAACCATATATATTCTATTTCCAGTGGATCCATATGCTTTTTAAAATTCAGTACTAATTTCTTCAGTGGAAAGTAGGAATAAGCTTGCTTTCTGCAGTTTATTATTAATACTTGGCACTCACACAGTGCTTTGAGAACACAAAGTCCTATGCAGACATATCAGTTATCCTTGAAACACTTTTGTCTGGTAGGTGCATCTCATAACAATAATCCTGAGAGATTGTATAGAATTAAATAAAACTAGAGATGAGGGAAAAGCTAATGAAACCTCCATTTCATCTCTTGACCAACGTAGGTTTGTTATCCACAGTTTGTTCGATAAAAATCGAGACCAGAGTTGTAGAAATGTCCCAACTGAAGAGGTTTCAAACCATTTCTTAGAGTAGGATTACGTATATTTTTTAAGCCTCATAGTTGTCCAGGTTCAGTGATGGTTAGGCAGTTGGTATATTGCTCTTTCTGCTTTTTATTGTAAAGGTGTTGATTCACCATTCTCTCATAATTGAGAACACAGACTCTGAGGTCTCTCTCAGGCGGGGTAGTTCTGTTATCCTTACTGTGCAGATACAGAACTGAGATGCTGTGTTACTCTGCTTAAACTCATGCAGAATGCCTGTGTCAAATAATTAGGTTTATCTCTTATGGCATAATAAGATCCTAAATTGTTCAGAATTCCTACAAAATCAGGCTTTGGACATGATGGATCTTAATGACAGCTGTGTTTTCTTGTTTGTGAAAGAGTCTAATGCTCTTGGTCTTGTGACATCTCTGTCTAGCCTGCAGATAGTTTCATGGTTTAGTCCTTGGTAAGATTGTTTTTAGTAAGTTTGGGTAGGGCTTGCTTTTAACAACATTGTCTTTGGTATTGCTTAAAGCAGCACACACAAGTCTCTGCATGTTACCCTTCCTAAAGAAGGGAGTGGCATCTGAATCTTAAAGCTCCACAGGTGCACTGGTTTAGATTTATCAGCTTCATGGATTAGAGAGCTGTAATTACTAAAACATTACTATTGTCTAGTTCAGATATGTTCTACGCAAATTCCCTCAAGCACTTGGCATTTGAGGATCTTGTACACCTTATAGATGGGAAGTTGGCCCCTTACTGGTGCATGTAATTTCTGTTGATCTGGAATCTGGGAGGCTGAACTCCACTAACCACTCTTCGGGGAAAACGTTTCTTCACAAACATTTACCTAAAAGCTGTGATTTGATACTCCCAGATCCCACTCAGGTAAGAAATTATTTGGATAATATGAATATGTAAACCCTTTTCTATGTCCCTTATCTTTGATATTTCAGAGTAGTTAGTGAACTGGAATCTCTTGTAAAAAGTTACTGTAAGCTAGGGAGTTACTAGAAGATTAGAGGAGAGTTTGCAAATATGTACGTTAAGGAAAATTTACTGAGCAATTACATGAGAAGTGGGAGGCTGAAGGAAAAGGAATCATTAACAGCAGTTTGAGCTGTATGTGCACAGCAAAGCTTGCAGAATGTAGTAACCCCCTGAGAAATAGGGTGAAGGGGAAAACCACTGCACTGAGGTCAGTGATCTGTACTGCAGTGAGAAGTCCCTATGTTTGGAATCTGGGAAGAGTGTTACAATTGAACCCTGGTAGCATGGCTCAGCCTCTGATTTGTGAGAGCTGATTGTTTTAAGGACAGATCCTATAGTTGCCCCAGTATCGCGTTCTCACC